GAAAAATACTGCTGATAACATCGGGTCGATTGCACAACCTGAATCGTTGTACTGAATAAAGACACAGAGCAGTGGATTTAGCTTTACAGTAAACTGTAAAGCTAAAGTCATATGTTCAAACCTCTATTCGTACAAACTGATTTTGTGTTTTTCAATAGTTTTAGTTTAGAATACTATAACGAAAGATGTTTTCCGCTTCTATTCTGACAGAATAAAGCTTACATCAACGGCATAATGGTCTATGTGTAGATCGATTTTGCTATGCTGCAAAAGCCAATAGAAAAGTCTCTCTAGAAAAGCGTAGATTGCGAAGTCAACAGTTTTGCCAAGTCGTCAGCTAGTGTCTGGTGGAATAAAATGACTTTAAAAGTATGGACTATAGTATGCAAAAGATCAATTCATATTTTAATCAAATAAGTCTACTCCTCTCTCTCATAAATGATGTGTTTGCCTATTATTCAACTTAAAACCATCACCATCTCTAGACAACTTCTACCATCATGAGATACCAAAGACAAGACTTGCAAGAAAGGAATCCGTATATTTCAGATTTCTTCTAGATAGATGTGCTTTTATGTACTCTTAGATATCCTCAGATATCTTTCTTTTCTAATCTTATATAGATGACAATTTACTGTCGTACACAAACACGCAAGAGAATGAACTGTTTTCGTTGTTCCATTTTTTTGGTGTATTATATCAGATATGAAAGAGAAATGCGAGGCATGTGCATGATAGAAAAGAAAAGAAGATATCTCTTATTTGATACGACTGTAGTATTAGTCCGTGGACTGCTGAACTTTTGCTGCTTAAAAGAGTGATTTTATTTTCAAACGCACTTTGCGCCCAATGATAAAGCGACCTTATGCAAAGATGAACGTAATCAGAAATAAATATTATTTTCAGAATGAGCGATGGGTCTTCTAAAAAAGTGTAAAATATCTTTTGGAATTCTTCCACCAAAAAAAAGGTGTGACACATAAGGGGATTGTCAAGGATAACAGCGTCTCTTTTTCAACCACATTCGGATTCTATGCCCCAATAGCGGTGTCTTCGATAGAGACAGACCATAACATCCGGAAATCGCCATCGCCGCGGATTCGGTGTTAAAGTGTTAACACTTTAATATATACGAGAAATGCTCCACCCTCATCCTCTATTATGCACGTTTACACTTTAACACTTTAGCATAAAAGAATCCGCGACGACGGCGATTTTCGGATAATGCCGTTGAATCTTCTCGTTTAATGCGTCTTTGTAACTTTGAAAAACTAGCGCATTATCCATGTTTTATTCTTGAAATAAAAAAAGATCCATGGTTGCAACTTCCCGGACTATATAACGAAAAAAGTAAAACTGAATAAGCAGAGAGCATCGATTTGTCACATCTATCTGTTCTGCCGATTGCACTGCAGAATGCACCGTTTTCATAATAAACATAATTTCAAATGTTTAGCGTCTCAGTCAGCTGTTTGGCCGAAAGCATCCTTCCATTTACTTTATAAAATAACGTTAACAATATAAAGAAACAGAACGCTGATAAAAGAGTTATTAGCCAAATATTGGAATAGAAATACTAATTGGAAAATGACTATTTCGAGTGATTTGTGTTTTTCACGCTTTCTATACATCTCTGCTGAAAGGAGACGGCGTACTTGAAATCAGAGATAAAGAGAGGGCTCGCTCGGGCGGGCAACTGGAACATAAGGAAATGAGGGTATGTTATTGTTTTCATTTTCAAAGGCAAATTTTACATGTGGATGAATGAATTGAGTTATAACAGAAACGTATCTTCTACGCATCTTAAAGAATATTTTACTCCTTCATCTCAAATTTTAGGATATAAGCATTCTTCAAGATGAATTCATGAATATGTTCAGAAGAATGGATGTCAAAGGAGAACTTATGCCATCCTCGTTTATTTGACGATACATTTATCCATCAGATGCGTATAAAATACACAGATCCTTAGTGCTATAGCCTATAATTGGTCTATATTTCTGTTCGACATATATCCCGAAAAATGGTAGAGTTATTGTAAAACATATAATGCGGCTTTTTCTTTGCACATCGCAAGAATTTCTGTACACAACAGGTCGTATACGTAGCCATGAAAAAGCTTTTAATACGTTTATAGACAAGCATTGTGAAATAAAAAGCGACATACTGGCTTATGGAAAACGGCTTTGAACAATCTAAAACGTGTTTGCAATAGGTGAAAAACGAAAGCTAATAGTAGTCATGCAGACAGAAGTTTACGGGGGGAAACCGTATGAGATCATAAAGAATGAGGATAAAATCTTTGTCTGTGACCACATTTTTCAATCTCTTAAGGTTAAGGTTTTCTTAATTGCCTATCTCCTTTCTTTCTTTTTTCTCCATTCTATTATACGGATGAGATGTTGAGGAATATATTAACACTTTTTTTGCTTGTGTCAGGGATTTTAACTTTCTCTTTTAGCGATTCGGTTGTTTTAGGTTTGTCGTTGGACGAAAGTTTTGTGTGTTGGAGTTTTAATATTTCTAGCTAAAGCATCTACGGTCACAACCAGAATTATGCGTTCATGGGGAGAACATATTCCTGTCCTCATCTGGAAATGATGAAAGCGACCGAGTTGCCTGGGTAATAGACCAATCATTGTAGTCTATGTGCAAAAGAAACAATAAAACATGTTTCTTCTTCTAACATATAAACTGCTGAATCCACACATTTAATAATAATTCCAGCATTAGGAGAGAAATTGTCAAACGGCAATTATACTCGTCGATAATTTTGCTAAGCTAAAAACTTGATAGGTTGTTTCTGCATGGCAAAAACCTGCGAGATGTTAGTTTTGCCGTTTACGGCATTCGTACACGCGAATTATGCTCTCTGCGAGAGTTATGCACAATCTGGAAGATATTATATTGTCGCCACGAGAATTTACAAGTATCAGTAGTCATAATTACCATGTTTCTGAAGTGACAATTATGCTGTTCAAAACGTTGAGCTGGTTAAAACGGCACTCGAACATTTTATCTAGCATGATCATCTCACATTTTCGATATTTATAATGCTGTTATTTCACATCAAAAACCGTGAACGTGCAAGATTTCGACGGCGTCCATCAATGTTGTCATGATATTTAAGTCTTATATCCATATACATTATGCCAATGTTCTGTATCGTTCTTCTTCGGTTCGACAACTCAACCTGCTTGGAACTTTTTTACTGGAAAATATCTGTCTCTATAGTGTGCATAGAAAGAAAAAAAAATATCAAGTCAAGTGTAGTACTGAAAGGAATATATACATACATCGTCATTCTGTTATGCGATAGTTCCATATTCTTCAGGCATATTGAATAATACTGTTCTCAATTTTGTTTTCAATGAAATTACCGGTGAATTTATTCTTCGGTGAAAATATTCACCGGCGAATAAATTCACCGATGCGAATTTTGGCGGCTTCCCTTAGTCTGTGAGCAACGTTTCACTTCAGAAGTTGTCTTACCGTCTTCATAATAACTCGGAAAAAAAGGTGCAACAAACACCACACGCGGTTCCATAACTAAAATAAGAAGTGAATGAACGTTTTCTTTCCGATCTTCTCCTGAAATCTCAGGTTTTACCACCTTCTGCTAAACTTTAGCATATTATTTTCGCTTATTCTGATACAACGAGCATGTTTCTATGTCTTTTACAGTTTTTGGAAAGTGTTTTTCATGAGAACCATAGGACAGCTTCAGAAATGAGATGACTACCTCTAAACTCATTAAAACTAATTTTTATCTCAGGAAACTCAGCTTTTCTCAATTGTCAACTGTGATATTTGTGGTCAGCGTTGTACTCTGTTCAACTCTGCTCTTGATTTCTAATTATTAATTTTTTGTCAAAATGTATTGTAGAATCTCAGTCGTTTATTCATACAATTAAACGAGTCGACGACCTATGGAAACAACATAGTAGTCAGTGGCTTACAGCAAAATACCAAGAATAAATCTGTACTTCATAGTCACGTAGATGAAATCCTGTGTTCATTTTTGATGAGTCCATTGACCTTTATCAGGAAAATATAAACTCATCGGGTTTAAATCGTTGCGAAAGACTTCCTCGCTGAGAATCTATTTTTATTATTATCAGATAGTGTATACAGAATGCTTATACAAGAAATGTTTGAAAAGGACGGGGGCTTACAAAGGTCAAAACTTTCCCTTGATATTTCTGAATAAGAGTTACGTATTCATAATCATCGTGAAATTCTACGTCGAATGAGGTATATGGCACCTTGGAAAAACCATTTTCAAATTTTCAGAAAATTTGTAGTCCCTATTTTCTAAGGATACTTTATTCGATGCAGAATTTGATGCTGATCGTGAATATCAGGTCAAAACTGGAAAAAAGTTAAGTTTTGATTAAAAAAAAATCGATTTTACTGACAGATGGCGTCAGCGATCTGGTTCATTAAAAACAGTTTTTTTTCCCTTGGGTTTGGTATGGAAACCTTCAAAGCCACCTAGATATATACTTTTCTACTAGAGAAGCAAAAGCGTAAACACGTAGAGGCGGAGACAATCCCTACGTCTTTACGTCGCCATTTCACTATGTCTCTAGAGAAAAAAAGATCAGTTGTCTCTGGGGCTTAGTCACTGGACATTCAAAGTGGTCTGGTGACTCACTCTCATGCCTGCTCACCCTACGCTTTTACGTCATTACCGTTTTATGTCTTTTTGAAATTTTTAAATGGAAATTCGTCCGGCTTTCGACAGTGTCGAATTTACAGCGAAACATTTTCGACACTGTCGCTTTTCGAGTAAAAATGTTGAACAGATTAAAAGTTTGACAGATTTTTCGAAGCTTTTTTACTCGAAATTTGATACTGTCGAAGCACGCTGTCGAAAACTGTTTCTGTCGAACTGCGAAGTTACCTAAATTACAAGCGACAAACCAATCGCCTAAATGCTGCGGCTTGTCTTCTCAGGTACTAAAACGCTGACCACTTCCCGCAATATCTCGGCCAACATGTCGGACTCGATATCGCCGATTTTCAGCCGACATTTACCACCGCCGACAATGTCACATTTTTTTTTATTGCTTGCAACATTTTTACCGTTACAAATCACACCTTTTAAGTGCACATCAGGAAAACATGTGACATTAAGAGTCACTGCACAAGTGAAACAACGTAAGTTGCTCAATCGATGTCTGAGTTTTTCGCTTAAACTTTCATTGTACGTAGCTCTAACATAATCAGGAGCATTCCCAACTTTTTTTCATCGGGACTTATAGGTTATAGAGCTTTTCGTAAGAAGCCTAAAAATAGCCTAAAACGATACTTGTATAAAAGTCAGATTTATGTTTTTATCTTGGTCTACGAAGTTGATTAAGAGCTCATATCTGCAGCATAAGTAGTCGAGGTCGAATACTACTTATAACCAAGAGCATATGCAAAAATAAGTTTAACGTATGTGCGAACATATGTGCATAAGATGATTCTTGTAAATTCTATAACTTTGCAAAGAAAGCTCATGTAGAGCTGGGAGATGTCTCATTTCTTCGAACTTTAAAACCACATTTTCATATGCATTTTGAAATGCGGATTCAGAAAAAAATGTTTCAAAGCTCCAAAATGCAATGAGAAAAAACTATCGTCGTTTATCTCGAAGGACGTTCATGTTAAGTGAACTTCAAAAAACCGATTTTCAGAGGCCCCTTCCAGAGCCGTAGTGAATCCTCCAAAAAATGGCTTTCAAGCATTAGTAGTATTGAGTCTATAGATAAGAACGGCATTATAGTTCCAACATGTGGGACACTATCGGACGAGAAAAAAAATTTCATAATCCATAGATGAGGTATACTTGTACAATGGATAGAGGTAACATTCAATGCAAGAACAAAGTTTTCAGGTTAAAAAAGTTATGCAAAAACTGTTTGACTTAGCAAAATTCTATCATCTTGTGCGCATATGTTCGCACATACGTTAAACTTATTTTTACATATGCTCTTGGTTATAAGCAGTATTCGACCTCGACTACTTATGCTGCAGATATGAGCTCTTAATCAACTTCCTAGACCAAGATATAAACATCACAGATTTGACTTTATGCAAGTATCGTTTTAGGCTATTTTTAGGCCTTTTACGATAACTATTTTGCGTGACATTTGATGTCACATTTTCTCTATTGTGAGAGAAACGAAACAAAGTAATTGCCCATATGTCGTGGCTTGTCGTCTCAAATGCTAAAAAGTGGACCACTTCCCACGATATATCGACCAACATGTCGGACTCCATGTCGCCGGTTTTCAGCCGACATTTGCCACATGGATTCGTCTCCTCATGTTAGAAACTGTAAAGTAAAACCAAAGAGTAAGTGTCATCCGGGTATAATTTTGCTTATCAAACTTATCTGACCCGACTAAGACTTTACCGTCAGATTGCTAACGGTTGTATCCCGAGAACTGCCTGTCTTTCTGTCTGAGGTGCAGGCTTAAACTTTGTGCTTGGGTTTCAATAAGTTTATTTTGAAAAAGCCAGAGGAATAGAGTGCACCTAAAGAAAGACGTGGCCTACCGCAACACAGCAGTAATAGTTTACTTGTATTTCATAATCAAAATGAAGTTCGATTAGAACATCGTTCTGTCCAAAATTAGAAACAGAATTGGATTTTGAAGTGATATAATGCGAAATGTCGAGTCTATTTTTTAGAAACTCATCTCCGTAATAACTTAGTTTCTTTTTGTGCTTCTAAAACGAACACTCTAAGTAATTGTATTTCTCTTTTATGTGATGTGATGGAATGAACATTCTCTTAAGTGAGAAACAAGGAATAGATGTATCGCTGGTGCAGAAAATGTATTTTCTGCGTTGATTACTTCTTCCGTTACTGTTTGTGCGTACCTTACTCTGAGAGAATTTATGTAGGATTTTAGTTTGGTCTTATCTCACAGTATGTCTCACAAGTTTGCATTTTTGTCTTTGACTGTCATTGCACTGTCGTTCACATGCGTATATGCAGTTCAAGTGGGACGATCAAGATTTCTGCCTGTAACTACAAAAAGTAGCGTACAAATAGCAACAGATATAAATTGTACGAATTGTTTGTGCTACTGTCTAATTTACCTACAATCAAATTCTTCGTCATCTTGTTACGGCGTCAATTGTTTTCCTTCAAATCAATCCTGTCAGTTGATTCCGAGATCGCCGAACTGTAAAACGATGATTTTTCATAAGCATTAGTATTAAATAATGCTAGTTTAATACTAATATAAAGGCATTAAATTAGGTATTAATTCTAATGCAAAAGTATTAGCATTAGTATTAGTTAATGCTAATATTAATCCACCACCCCTAGTCAGATCTGATGTTGGAATGTAATGACGACCCGATTATGGAATTCTCTATTGGAAACTGTTGTATGGCATCGGATTCCGACTGCAGGACCCCTATAGGATCCAATATGTGGCAAGGTAACGGACTTTGAAGGGTCCCATAGGATCCTTTAGCCCATGCCCGACTGGGCAGTGCCAGATTTGAGCTAATCGACTGGTACGACTCGATTAGTTCAAAACTGGGACTTATGAATAACTCATTGGTTCACAATCATATTACTTATTGGTATTTTAGCCGTATGATTTACTCTTATCATCCAATAAATTATAGATCAGTTGACTGAATTTTCAGTTCGACTGGGCACCAGGTAACTAGAACTGGTGCACGCCTATTATAAATGACTAGTGACAAAAGCTAGTCCAATTGTTCGATGAAACAGTGTACCGACACGAAATATTGTTAATGTGATTGTGCTCAAATGAATCCTATAAGTATGGAGAGAAAATTAATTATTTTATACACTAATCTGATTGTTGCCGGGATCTAGTGACACCTTTAACAATGGAGTTTCAGTGGACAATATATTTCTTGCTTTAACCCTTTCAATCCCGACCTTTTCTTCCGTCCTGCGTGAACATGGAGAAAAATCGCTAAATCTCTCTCTCTCTCTCTCTCTTTCGTTCGCTCTTTAACAACCAGCTGCGTTTGGATTATAGCGTCGTGGAATAATGAAAGAGAAAGAATTTCGTAAAGAAAAGTACGTGGTTTTCTTCAGACACTTCGTATGATTTGAATCGCATAAGAAGACAACAGAACGCAAAATTTTTCTTTTGCGTTCTACGTCACATCTTCGAGATGTGTTCTGGATTGAAAGAATTAATTCTCTGGGTATTTTCCAAGTTTGGATTCTGTTCAAGTATAAATAATGGTGAATTCACATTAAATGTCGCGAAAGTTTTCAAGGAATCAGAATAGATCGACTAAGTGATCAGTGACAAGGTAAGTGGTAGCATCTTTGCAATTAATTCTTTTCAAAACTATATTATATGAATAAGACGGTTGCGTAACAGCTAAACAGGAACACTATATCTGTTCAGGGATAGAAATTTTAAAATTGATAAGATAGTAACAGCAGTTGTTTTTGAATTCTTTTAATTTTAGATATTTAAGGCCTACCCCCACTGAAAAAAAAGGTTATTTTGGTGAAATTTATCGATTTTTTTTAAAATAGCGTATTTGATAGAGCATCACGTCCGCTATCGAATGCACTATAGTTTCTTAATTTTACGATAGGTTAAGGGTTTCACACAGGTTTTTCTGACAACCTCTACCGGGAAAGACGACATTTTTTCGTTATTTTGCGTTTTTCTTAAAATGAGCCTTTTTGGTTTACGTTTTCGTGCGTCCCAAATTTCTCCGCCACTTTGAAAGCTAGAAAGCTCGGGTTTGTTCTAAATCATAGCTAAAGTCTGACATTACAACTTAACAGAGCCCGATTCTTCGATTTCAGAATTGACGTCAGATGAAGAGAAAATGTTTGAGATCCTGCACCCCAGTAATTTCATATCGTGACGTAAAAGTTCTATAAAAAGTGAACTACAGAGAAATTAAAAAATCGGCCTCTGTTAAGTTGTAGCCCTACATCTTAGCTACATTTTAAAACCAACCCGAGCTCTCTAACGTTAAAAATGGCAAAGAAATCTGGGACGGGCGAAGACCCACTTTTGGACCTTAATTGTGAGCTAGCTCTTGATAGGTTTAATATTTCGAGCTGAAATTTTTACTGTGAGGTCATCATACCTAGATACAGCATCTCTGAAAGTTAAGCATTAAGGTCGGATGCTCGTAAGCAGAAATGGATTTTTGGGTGGGGGGCGGGCCTTAATAAGAATTAAAATTAAAAAAAAACAGAATCTTGAACGACGTAAATCGAAAGACTATGACCTAGAAGTAACAGTTAATTCGTCCTATTTGTACGTTTGACTGTATGAGGCGGCTAACTCTAATCGTCGGCAGAATGATAATACGCGATGGATGTAGTCGTATCACAAACACTTTATTCATAGAAAACCATCGGCTATATATAGGATGAACAACCGCTAGGGACGGAAATATCCATAGAGAGAACAAGAGAGAGAGCAACGGAAAAACTCATGGACAATATATGACCGATGGTGGAGAACGAAAGGGGAAACACCAAGCGAAGAACGAAAGGAAAATGTCCATCGAAGTGAGATGGGAAATAACCAAGGCATGTACAGTGATAGAAAGACGGACAGACAGAGAAAGAGTTAGCATCACCTAACAACTGTCTGTGCTTCTATAACAGCTATTTGAAACTACTATCTGTCTTTTACAATATAGTAAGCTTTTGCTAAATGAAAGAGAAGATGCAGTACGGATGGGACAAATAGCAGTCACTCAGTCGAGTCACTTTTATCGTTCTGCAAATCACTCTTGCGTTCTGTTGTTCATGCAAGCCACAGTTGCTGGAGAAAAACTGACGAGGGAACCGCCCTAACTGTCAAATCGCTTTTTGGATAAAACCTAGGTTATCGACTATGCTGATTCCGAATATAACAATCATTTTGGCCGATAGATCTTCAGAGACCGGATTTCTGTCAAACTAGTTTTTCAAAACTCCTAAAAACTAATCAAAACCTTTGTTAATGAAGCAGGATTGTAGCCCACAGGTTTCTGATTAAAATGAGACCTCTTCGAGCTGTACACGGCCTTTCTTTGCAAAGTTGTTTTTACGAGAAAAGCTCTAAATATTCATTGTCAGCTCAAAGCTACAGAAATAAGGAGAAATTAATTTACGGCTTTTCTTGTAAATTCTACAAATTTGCAAAGAAAGACCTCTACAGTTAACCGACCGGTCAAGCTAGTTCCAGACCCGTCAATGCCTTCGTTATTGGGAAGCACACGAAGAAGATTATTGCTTATTCTGCTGATGTAAACAAAGTATTTTGCGACATTTCAGCTGAGTTTTGCAATAGACTAATAACCATGGGAATAATGTGAAAATGCATCGTTACTATGAACCTACGCTTGTGTGGATGAACCTCCGGAAGAATTTTCGAACAAAACATGAATACCTTAGTATTGAACTGCTTCGTATGTAACTATCAAAAGTATAACGAATAAGCTTACTTGGATAAACTCGGATCAAAGCTATTGGTGTTGATTATATATAATCAAGCCTAACATATGATGCAAAAGTAATGGCAATAATCTCAAACTCTTTTAGACCGCATTGCCGACTTCTAAACCAATCAAACTTTTTTAGTTGGAAAGAGCAAAGTTTGAACTACAAGTTTTGTACCACACATATTTTTCTAGACCGAATCTCGGAAGGAGGAAAAGTCAAAAAACAAACACCTCTGAAAAAGTCCTTGCAACTTCGCTATGGAGCAACATCATTTTCTATGTTCTATTAGTTTTTTTTCGTCAGAAGTACGGGCGGCAGCCTTTAAACTCGTTACGAGATGAAAACAGCCTTCCCTATACTATATTAAAGTGATGTGCAGATGTCTTCCTTTACCAAAAAGTTAGTTGAGAAAAGAAACAAAGCTTTTCACAGATTTCGGTGTTCTCGGTCTCCTCTTCACTTTCAGCATTATAAACAATTAAGAAATTAAGCCATTTCATCCCTTCGATGTGATAAACGAGAGATGTTTAAGAAAATATCAACGTTTTTTTCCAACGTTTTGGTCTTCTATTAATAAATTTCGTAAGGGTACTTCCCCAGAGCCACAATCTTTCAGTGATGGCAATAACGTAACCTCAATTTCCTCTCTTCATAGCGCTGCGCTAATATGTGCAAAGAATTCTTCTCCACATGTTTCACTTCTGCTACTGGTGTAACATCAAATTCTTCTTCACTTTCATCGTTCTCTTGTAATAGACAACACAATCTGTCACATCTTACTTTTATGCTTCAAGATACCTTGGATGCTATTTCTTCATTGAAAAACAACCCAAGTGTAGGAGTGGATAACATATCGTTAAAAATTATAAAATTATGCCAGCTGGTAATAGCTAAACATCTGCTACATATTTTTCAGTTATCTATCGACACGGGTGTTTTTCCCACACCGTGGAAAACTGCAATTGTTCTCTCAGTGCACAAGAAAGACGACGTATCAAAAATCAGTAACTACCGTCCAATTTCATTATTGTGTGTTCCTAGCAAGATTTTTGAGAAGATTCTACACAAACGTCTTTTAACTGTTCCTCTGGATAATCGTATTTTATGCTCCACTCAGTTTTGGTTTTAGACCATCGAGTTTGACTGCTCTACTTTATGTAACAAAATCATTTTGCGATAACTTAAATGAAAAGGTCTCTGTTGGTCTAAGTTCTGATCTGTGCAAGGCTTTGACAAGGTGTCACATAGTACTCTATTGGAAAAACTAGCGTGCGTAGGATTAAATGGTCAACTCCATCAATCGTTTACCGTCTATTTGTTAATGGTAAAGTCCTCAATCCCGAAAATCATCCTAAACTATTGGGATTACACCTGGATAACTCAAATTAATGAAACGCCGCTAGCCTGTAGAAGGATGCTTGGGGCGCTTAACAGAACATTCTCTAGTTCTTTGAAGAAAATTCGTCTTATTATTTATATGTATTGCATTCTACCTAAAACTGACTACAGTAGTGTAATTTTTGACTCGGATTTCTCGACTCATCTTGAGTCATTAAACCGTGTACAAGGTTTAGCTGCGAG